TGCTAGTGGAAGTGGTACTGATAAGCAGAATCATTAAGCTAGCAGACTAACAGTTCAAGGAATTGAACTACTGGGATTCAGGTCTCTAATTGCAGCACCTTCATTCTTTTCTTCTCAGTCATTCTGCTGTAGATTTGCTCCTGTGATCTAGTGACCCATCTACGCTTAGGATTGGGTTGTGTTATAGCCACGTGCTAAAAAAAAAAAAAAGGCTGATTTTCAAAAAAACCAAAAGATATTACACTTCAAAGGCAAATACATTTTGAGGTTACATTTTTTTCTGTTCAAATATTTTCATTTCGTGGGTCATAAAAAGAGAAAATTTACTTTAAAAGGGGTGAATATTAAACCCCGAACACAAAATGTCTTGCCAATGACCTAGTAGATGTAGATATTAGGAGCTTAATTTTCTCCATGAGTACCAGTCATGATGTTGACAAGCAAGCCAGACATTGGTTTTTCCACCTCCTGCAGTATGTGCACATCACACCTCTCCTTTTTGCATCCCACTTGGGAGTTAAGTCTCAAAACCCTCTAAAGTAGACCAATTAACTGAGACACTTATGCATTAAACAGCGATTTGCCTGTCACTTTTATGACTCCATTCAATTAATTATCACAGCATCCCTTTAAAGAATAATTAGTTCATCTCAAATAAGACCTCTGCTAGAAATACCAACAGCCTTTTGGGGCATCAGAATTCAAGAATAATCTGTTAAATAGCTGAAAATATATAGAAATGGGAGAGGGGAATTTGAGTTCCCAAACATTAGTATTTACAGTCATATCGGGGAAAAAACAAAACAAAACTGGCACACGTGATATGCACATTGGGTTGATAAATATAATAAAAGCAATTTAGTTATTGATTGAGCTCAGTCAACAGAGACTGTAATAAAAACAATTTGAGCAACTGTAATGATGAGGGGTGACAGTGGCCCATAAGGTTTTGTGCCACTTAGAATGTTCTAGCATTGATTTTCTCTTTTTCAATATAAGTGAAACACCTATGAGCTTTTTGAATGATTTTGTTCAGTGGATTGTGCTGGGTGATGTTCCACACAGCAATACTGAGTGATAGCAGGTCCTTGCTGGTCACTGGTTTCAGTTGTTTTATGTTTGTTGACTTCCTGTCCAACTTAAATACTTGGGTTATTACACGTACTCAAACTTCTACAAAGTGCAACTGACTTTGAATGCCTTACTTTTTCAGTTTAAAAAAAACTGGTTGTACCTCCACTTCTTCGTATTATAAGTAGTAACATCAACGGACCCCAACGTTAACACCATCTACATTTACTTCCATAGTGTTATCTTTTTTATGTCATATTGCAATGCATGTTGGTTTTGTTTTATACCTCTGTTAACACAAAAATCTATTCACATTGTCTCCAAAAACACACAAGACTGACGTTTATGCAACTTAGAGGACAATAGTAATGTTAATGGTAATGATTTAATCATTTTCAAGACTTGTGACATTGGATTTAAGACCTTGGATGACACTGAAAGACTGAAAAGATTATTGCATTTTAGACAGAAACCTATGTGAATAGCAGCATTAATGATGGAGTGGAGCATTTCACTGAGATGTGCCATAACCCCGCTTCCTTACACCATGGGTAACAAAAGCAATGAAGGCCATTATAAGGAAATGAAGCAGCCAAAGCACCTCATTCAGAACAATACTGCCTGAACAACCCTTTCAATCATAAAGCACCCATTGGAGGCATCATCTCTAATGCAGCCATTACCTGTTCCTCTAAATCTATTAACTCAATTATTCTGTTTCACTGAGTTCATCGTGTTACTTCTATATGTGAGATATAAAAATGGGAAAGACTTTGGAAGAATTTCATTTCGGGCTGAAAGGTCTCCCATTTGCTGACGTGGTATTTTGTTACAAAGTGACTGAGTACACCCAGTTAAAGGTAGTGATGGTGTTGTGTTTTAGTTGTGTTCGCTAAAGATGCCAGTTGCATTCAGTAACAGCATGCTAAGTGGCTAAAATGAAACCAGTCACTTCAAAATCGTGAGCTCCACTCTTCTTTTATTCTACTGTTTTAATTGTTTTTGCGCCTGTGTTCAGATGCAATGAGACGTTTTGTCATGCAGGAAATCTTCTGAGGAAAGTGCTACAGTGTTTCATTATAGTCTTTTACTCACACTGCTTTCTGCTTTGACGTTAATTGATTTTTGTCAGCTGCCTTTTGTGATGAAAGCTGGTTGTTTGCGATGTTAAATGGTTCTGACCGCTTTGCTCCTCTAGACATCTTGGTTTCCATTCTTGATTTGAGAAATTAATTTGTCTTTCCAAGCATCTTTCAATATATCACCCTGTCATGCTTGCATCAGCCCCCCCACACCACCCTGGTAGTATTTTAT